AATAACTAACATAAAAGTAACTTTTATTAATCAATTCGGAATTAGCATGATCGATTACCTATAAGCTACCGCATTTCGTTAGAAAAGCGATTTGACAGTTGGATATGTTCCCTCGTAAGTCGATACAAAACCAAGCACTCTTGACGCAAATACTTTAATAAAATTATTTATTAACCATGGAAACTACTTATTTTAGTAATGCAAACGATCATAAAATCAACTGTTACAACTCATAGTTAGGTTTGAGTTTTCTCATGTGCCATGGTCTGTTACCAAAATAAAACCTAACTAACTAACAACCAAGGAACTCACATAGCATAGGAAAGAATTTTAAAGGCTGAATTTTTGCTCTTAATGAACCTTCTTTTTGCGCTTTTTCTCCTCTTTTGTAAAGCCAAAAACTCTCTCTGAAAACCTTTTAAATTCTCTCTCATTTTTTATTGAAAGGTACGACTCAGAACTGAATTTAATCACTTTCTAATTTTATTTTTAGAAATATTTAAATTCACCATGGAATTTGAATAATTTTGCTTATCATTATAAATCTGTATTAAGATATCTTAATGCGGATATATCAGGAATGAAAGTAAGTTTCTAAGCAAATGTCTTGAATTTGATTTTAGCTGACTATATCAAACTTTAGGTTCCTTGGGCGTATGTTGGAATGTTGTTTTCGTGCTTTTGTTGGCATGTTGAAGATCATTGGAGTTATTCTATCAATTATCTACATTGGTATGCTGACACTTTGTATCTGTCGATGATATTAATTATTCCGATCTTTTTACAGTTGCCACTAGTATCTCTGGCATAATTTGGTATTTTATCTATAGTTTTCTACTTGTATTATTATAGGGGTGAACCAAAGACGTGGTATGGCGTACCCGGTACAAGTGCTGAGAAGTTGGAAACCTGTTTCAAATCTTATGCACCGGAATTATTCGAAAAGACACCCGATTTATTACATCATCTTGTCACAATAATGAGTCCATCAATTCTCGTGAGAGATGGTGTCCCTGTATGTATAGCATTTACATCTTCTATTAGTATTCCTCACTTACTGATTTTCAATTTTTTTTTAAAGGTTGTCCGCCTAAATCAGTATGCGGGTGAATTTGTAATTACATTTCCTCGTGCGTATCATACAGGCTTCAATCAAGGTTACAATTTTGCTGAAGCTGTTAATTTTTGTCCAGCTGATTGGGTAAATTTTTTTGTTCATAATTTTTACGAATTGATTAATAAAAGTTACTTTTATGTTAGTTATTAATGGGTCGTTGTGCAATTGATCATTATAAAGAAGTTAAACGTTATAGTGTATTTTGTCATGATGAACTTGTTTGTAAATTAGCATCGGAATGTCAATATTTGGATCCGGCTATTGGTGATGCAACAAAATTTGAATTAGAATCTATTGTTAAACATGAAAAAAATGGAAGAAAATCGGCTCATGATCAAGTGAGAGTACAATCGTATTTTTCTTTTTTTAGAAGACTCCATTGTAATCTTTTGTTTAAGGGAGCTGCAAATGGTGATCGTGTATGTTTTGAATTGATGCCGGATGATGAAAGACAATGTGATTATTGTAAAACAACGTGTTTTCTATCAGCTGTATCATGTTCGTGTAAACCAAGTAATGTAACCAAAGTATTTTTTTGTCTAGGATTTGTCAACTTTTTATTTTTGTCTGTTTAGATGTTCTTGTGTGTGTCAATCATGTCGATCAATTATGTACATGTTCACCACCATCCTATTGTTTATGGTAACTAATTTTCGATATTTTTTTGTAGATTTAATGTAATATTTGTATTTCATTATACTCTAGGTTTCGTTATACATGCGAAGAGATGTCTGACATGTTACAAGCACTTAGTGAACGACTTGATCTATGTCAAAAATGGAAATTATTAGTAAATAGATTAATATCAAATGATCACAGTATTTTGGTAGATTATAATGAATTAGAACGTCATATGGCATCTGGTGTTTTATGTTTACGCGATGATATTCGTTTAAAAATAGATCAAAAATTATCAGAAGCTCTTGAATGTCGAGAAATTGCAAAGCGGCTGTTAAAACGACTGACATATAAAAATGTTAATGGTGAAATAAAAGATGAAAATGATTCAAATAGTGTAGATAAACAAAAAGTGACATTGGACGAATTTCATCAATTAAATTCAAAAGTTAAACAAATTGGTATCACATTTATGGAAATGATCAATGTACAAGTAAGTTCATTTTTCTTTTACAATCATACAGAAATTAATTGATCATTTTTCTTGTCTATTTTTAGAATATATTATCCAGTTGTATTTGTTATCAAGACGATGTTCAAAAACTTTTGCTATCTGATCAATTACAAATACCTTCAGTTTATACTTCTTACATTGATCGTTCCGATCAGTTTTATATTGAATTACCGATTGTTAATAAACTTCATTCTTTTTATCAAGCGAGTCTATGGAATGAAATTGTTAAACGGACAACTGTACAAATTCCTACAATAGCAAAATTAAAAAGTCTTATTACATCCGGTGAATCATTTTGTCATTTACATCCACAAATACATCAAACATATCAAGATTTACAACAACAAATACATGTACAAGAATCATGGGAAGAGAAATGCCGAATATTGATGAAACAAGAGTATGTATAATTTAATCATATGAGTAAGAAAAGAGACAAAAAACTGTAAAAATATAGATACAATATAATATATTTGAATTCTCTAATAAAGTACTCATTTTTCTTTTTATCAAAATTCTTTTGTTTCATATTTTAGCCCACTTCCAACACTCGAAATATTAGAACAATTTGTCAAGGATGCTTCAGAATCTGTGACTAATTTACCATCGACTAATAAACTAAAAACAACTATTGAAAATTGTAAACAATGGAATCTAAAATATGAACAGCTACAAGTACGAGAACTTGAAAATATTCATCTTTTAAAGTTATAAAAATAAGAAAATTCTTGATATATTTGATTTTGTACGGTGAAAACATCAAATGATAAAATAAAGAGTTATCAACACCGTTTTACTTTTAAATATATTTTGACGTTTCATTAACTACTAATGTCAAACTATGTTTAAAAATAAAACAATGTTGATAATTCTTCATTTTAAGAAACATCTTTTTGTTTTGATAAGTGCTCTATTATAACTCGATTATTGAGCGTTTTACCTTGGATTTTTTACCAGATCTGTAAACTATTGTACGCTCATATTTTTGTTTGTTTATTTGTTTAGTCAAATGAACATTATCCCTTCTTACACAGTTTGGAACAACTGTATTCTGATGCAAAATTATTAAACGTTGATTTACCACCATTAAAACAAATTCATGAAACAATCTCTCATGCAACTATTTGGCTGGATAAAACTCTACAAACATTTAAAAAACATAATTCACAATTAAAATTATTAGAAGTGAGTAATAAATTTTCAAATGGCATTTTTTGATCTTATTCATATCTTTTTATTTAGATCATTACACCACGAGTATCATTTAATGATAAGAAAACAAAACGTCGACGAAGAACAGGTGGTAGTAATGGATCAGTAGACAATACATTCGGTGAATTAACAAGTACATTAGATGAAAAGTTATTAGATGCAATAGAAGATGAAAAAGATCCAGCAACAATTGTACGTATTGGGAAATTAAACATAGTATAATTAGAACACTATCTATATATTAGTCTGAACTATATCTACCTCTCTATCGATTAATGATTAACAGTTTAGATAGTATATATTTAGAATAGTTTCTACATCTTTTAATGTAAATGGCATAAAATATAACCATAGATATTCTCAACTTTGCGACTAATCTTCGTTTTCCATGACATACTAGTCTATTATATTGTGCCCTCACTTGTTCGTTAAGATTTTTATCATTTTATTCTGTTTCAGTTTCAAACTTATCATGATTCTACTCAAAAAGAAATTGATGCCATTTGTGTTTTACGTGAACAAAATCAATCAAAACGGTCTGATGGATCTTCAACTTATTGTATATGCGAAAAACAATATCAAGAGAATATGATTAAATGTGATTTATGCAAAGATTATTACCATCGTATGTAATTGTTTTCAAACTATGAACCTCATTAAAAAAATGGAGTTTAACATCCGCTCTGATTACATTTATTTATCATAAGAATTTGTATAGATCAGATCTCACTGAACTATAGTTTTCTGAGGAATAGATGTTTGATATAGTTCAGAGGAACCATGTTCCACTAACAATTTATAATTATTTTTTATTTTTTAATTAGGTCAATGTTTATCTCGTTTGTCAGATACAATGTCTACAATTCCAATTTTAAATGATAATAATTCTCGATCTTTGTCACCTGAACCATCTAATTCTACTTCATCATCGTCTTTAATCTGGTGGTGTCATTCATGCATTCGTTCATGTCGTCCCCGTTTAGAAGATGTTGTAAAATTATTAGCAAATTTACAAAAACTAACGGTTCGATTACCAGAAGGAGAAATTCTTCAATGTTTAACTGAAAGAGCAATGACATGGCAAGATAAAGCAAAGTAGGTCATACCATCAACCAGCCACATCATATTTCTTGCTCTTTTTCTTGTTTAGAGAATTTCTTAATTCGCTAGTCTCTGAAACATCGATTAAACAAGAACCAACTCTACAATTTAGACCGTCCACATCTGTATGTATTTTTTCAGTATCATACTACTCGCTAGCATTTAGTTTTGTGTATTTAACTTATTAATGGACAATGCCTATTCCAACTTTGTACTGGTTCATTGGAGCTATTTAAAGACATGAAAATACATATAATGTCTTGGAGTATACTTTATATTTTATAAGCATTGAACTGTAGATAGAAAGAGTAAGAGATCTTTTGGCATTCTCCATTCGACAGGTAGATTGTATTTTTTTTAAAGAAGTTACAGGATGCTGTTTTATAAACGTTTCATCTTAGTACATGTTCTTTACTAATTTTAGGAAGAAAATGATTTCGATAGCACAACTAGTGTGAGATCAAAATCTCATAAAAAATTTGCTAATAATGACAATTCATTACCGAAATATTATATCGAACAAGCGGAGCAATTACTCATGCAAGGGGCTTTACTTGAAATTAATGTTGATGAAATCAAACAATTAACAAAATTATTGCATAAACATAGAACGGTGCCGGGATCAAGTGATGTATGTAACTTTTGTAACTCAGTGTTTTTTGTTAGTTAGACAATGACTAAATCGACATCATCATGTTCATTTGTCATATGCGTGCTTAACTTTTGAGTTTATGTTTACTAATCGAACCAAACCATATGGAAAAGAAAGTAAACTAGTATAAATTGATAAATAGAGAAATCTCTTTCTTTATTCAAGTGTCTATAGAGAAGGGTCGAACTTTTTCATATTCTGATTTTAGATGATTACACGACTAAATATATTCTGAAATATTTTCGAAGAGTCGATAAATATTCTCTGAGTTATGAATTAACGAACATGTTTTTAATAAAAATTTTAATTGCTAGGTCTATTTTTAAGAACTTTTCAGTTTAATTAAAAACAATCATTGAAGTATGATTGTTGTGTTATTCAGTCGAGAATTAGTTGCAGTTATGATCATCTTCAAGAGATAACAGATTTCAAAAAAAGTATATTAGAATATAAATGAATAATTAATACGTGCTAATTAGTGCCAGTTAGAGTCCATTCAGTGATTTATATTTTTACTTACAAACTAACAGTTTATTAACAATAATCGACTTTTTAAGCAATACAAAACCATCTATTTGTTCCTCGAAAATGTAATTAATAATGGATCGTAGTAGTTGTCTTAGTAATGGATCGCGGTAGTTGTCTTAAGACCTTTCTTATTTCCGATGTCCGAAAAACGACATTTGTTTTTAATTCATAGATAATTGATTGAGATAAACTTACAAGCACATTACCTCCATTGTGTGTTTAGAATACAGTTGATGTAACACTAAATTGATGTCTTTTGACTGGTTTCGTTATGAAGTTGTAGAATTTTTTAAAATTAACTCTAAGGCCAAAAATGAGAATGTTACAGCGTGCTCTACGACTGCAAAAGTCTAAATATTCAAACTTAAAGGGACGTCAATATTTAATTCATGTCCACGCTACATATATGATCTTAGCCATATATTTCACCACGTTTGTTACATTGTGAATAATGAGTCATCATTTTTGGGTCTTATAGCTATTTTTGGAATGTCTATTCTGCACGCGAGAGCCAACGGTCTTTGGATAATTTTGTCTCATCAGTAGTGAAGTGGTTACTGTATAGGAATACGAAAAAAGAAAAACCTTGCCAAAACTCAATGAAGCACATTGAAGAAAAGTTTCTGCTTGCAAAACTATTCGTTAAGTGCCAAATAGCGTATTGACGAGGAAACCTTTTCAAATGCTCAGCTCCGTTTTCAGTGATATTAGACCTGTCGATAGAGAATATTGTTCAAAGTAAAAGCCTAAAAGGATTTGAGCCCATATGATTTCATTCAAAAAGTTATGAAACTTTTTTGTTTGCTTATAGGAGTCACAATAAAACTAAAGTTTTTGTATCTCGGTAAAAACAGCCTACATATCACGGAAATATTCTGGTCTTCAACTCATTTACGCAATGCGCAATTCAATTTTACTTCGTTAAGAAAATCTTATTATTCGATGCAATCTTTTTGTTTTCTATGTCCCACGTTACTCCTTAATAGAATCAAGCGTACGTGTTTTCATATTTGTATTCCTCTAATAAGAACGTTTTGAATGAGAGACGAAATAAATATAGCCTAATTAACTTTATTACATGACTGATTTATTTTCAAAAAGTTTAAAAAAAAAATCTTTCTACAGTAGGAGTGGCGAAAAGCGGAAAACGATCCCTTTGGCCAGACTATTTCCGTCATATTAGTAGATGACTAGCATAATGATGAAAAGTATTTCACCTCTTATCTGGCTGTTTTTACCGAGATACAAAAGCTTTAGTTTTATTGTGACTCCTTCTATAAGCAAACAAAAAAGTTTCATAACTTTTTGAATGAAATTATATGGGCTCATATCCTTTTAGGCTTTTACTTTGAACAATATTCTCTATCGACAGGTCTAATATCATTGAAAACGAAGCTGAACATTTGAATAGGTTTCCTCGTCAATACGCTATTTGGCACTTAACGAATAGCTTTGTAAGCAGAAACTTTTCTTCAATATGTGTCAGTTACAGTTTGTGGCAAAAATCCGAAAAAAACTACTTTTCTTGAGAAGCGACATTTTAAAAAGCAATAAAAGTCTTTTTAACCAAATTTTATCCAAAACTCACTAACATTTCCGCATATATGTAGTTCTCGGTTCTCGGTTAACCGAAGCCAGAATTATCGTTACAGCATACGCCTTCAATGAGCAGCATCTTTTATATAAAAAAATAAATAAAAGTTTTCTAAAACTATTACAATGTGAAAGTAATTGGACGAATGTGTGTACGAGTTTCAAAAGTCTCACCATATATGTATATCGATATGCACAGAAAAGTGATTTAAAAATTGAGAGAATCTTCTCTTCTTAACACAAGTGTGTGTTTAAATGCTATGCTATGAGTAAGTGTTATTCAGATTTATTTGTTTAGAAGCCAAAAGTGTCGCGTATTAGTTCAGCGTCCACCACAACAATCATTAAAGAGGAGAATCGAAAATCGTTAGAAAAGATGAAGACTTCTAAATTAACAATAGCAACACGAAAAAGAAAGTCACAAGAGCCTCTTCCAACAATATCATCGACAACGTCCAAAGCGTGTGAGTATAATGAATAGTATAGGTTTATTTCATGTTTATATTTATGGACAGTTCTTAATTATATTGCATCACTACAAAAGACGTTTGCTCAAATTTTAGCGGAAACCGGTTTCGCCTAGAATCATAAAGAAATAAATAGTTTCAGTTTAAGTTTAGTCGATTTTTGTTATGTATAGCAAATAGTTAACTGATCATTTTTTAGCAATATGTTTTTCGCTGAGAATAGTGCTTTTTGTCCAGTAATTTTATGCTGTTTTATCGTCGAGTATAGTGACGGATAGACAGTTCATTTATCCCACGCTATGACTTCCTCACGCAGGGCCGCACATAACAGGAGGGTGTGGGTGGGTGCGCATTCCCTGAATAATTGAAAAAGCTGTTGTTATTTTATCCATTATTCCTCGCATAAATTTTTTTTATCAATTTCACACTACTTCAAAGAGAAACTTTGTTTTAAACCACCCCTAATGTTCTGCTCCTATTTGCGGCCCTGTCCTCACCAACTGAGAAGTCTCTCATAACAAAAATACGATTAGTTTATAATTTACAATTAATAAATTAATTTTTAACTCATCCATCATTACAAAACTGAATGCGTTTGAAAGTCTAAAATAATTTGTTCAGTATTGATTACTTAAGATATATTTGTATCTTTAATGCCATTGTACCAAAGCCAGTGTCGAAAAAATTCTATATCATTATGATATGTAATCACTTAATTTAGTGATATTTTTCTCTGTAGCCGCTCGCCATTCTTCTACAAAACGTTCTCGTAAATCCATTCAACAACAACTCCGTTCAAATCATACACCAACAACAAAAATAATCTCAAATGAAACATTAAAAAGCCTCGATCAGCCTAATAGCACAACATCCACAATAACATCAACTCTCATTTCCAACACAAATACTACTAATTTTCCATCTCTCGTCACATCAGTACCTTTAGACGGTGTGAATGAAACTCGAATTTTATTTGAAAATGATCATGGTGAACACGAAGATTTAGGACAAAGTCACAATCACGGATATAAAGGTATGAGAAAGTTTCTGTGCTTTCATCTCTTAATCATAACAGCTCATAAAACTTATGAAGAGTTGAACTATCTAGGAAATACGTTTAGTTATTCAACTTTCTACTAAAACATTATGAAGTGCAGTTGGACGAATCTTGATGAGAAGCCTGTCATAGAAGAAGAAATTTTGCAGTCATTTTTGTTGGAATATATTTCTTAAATGACCGTTTTTTTTTTTCAACTTACTTCATCGAGATTCTTAAGTAGCATTTTTTTCAATAATTTCCGTTTAGTTGATGGTACAACAATAGTGTCAACTGGTGATGATAAATGTGCGTTAGGCAATCAATGTTTGAAACCTTCTGATTCAAGCATAAAATGGGTTATGTGTGATAAATGCGACAGATGGTTTCATTTAATTTGTGTTGGATTAACGACTATTAAACGAAATGATGAATTTAAATGTAGATTTTGTAAAGAACAATAATAATACTTTCTCTTTCTCTCTTTCTCTCTCTTTTTCTCTGTCTCTCTTATTAAATTATGTTTTTCTTTTCTTCTCGCTATATAACTATCAAATGTTTTTTTGCTTTTGCCAGTTGTATGCTAATATACTTAACGTTCATTTTTCGTCTTTTGTCGTTATTTTTATGTCTTCACTCTATAGTCAAAATAATTTGCGATTCCTGACAGATGCTATTTTAACGAATTTCTTAAACACATCAGAAATTTTTGTTTCAGTTTAGAATGCCGTTCGTTGCTCTCGAAATACTGTTCGCCAACACATAGAATTACTGATCTCGTCATAAACTTGTCAGATAAAGTGAGAATATATGTAGAAGCGCGAACGAGTGCATATACTCCCTTACTTATCTCTCTTAACACAGGCTAGTTCATCAAAATAGTCATTAGTGTTCCCTTTTTTTCATATCTATTATCGACTTTCTTTCTCTCAATATTCTAAAGTTTTTTCGATCTGTTTATATATTCTGTTTTTGTTGTGTAAATGTGTTTGCTTGTTAAAGGAATTTAGTTGTTTCTCTCCTTTTTGTGTGATTATTTACTATTTCTTTTAAAAAACAAAAGAATTTGTGCCTGCAACAGTTTCTCTCGAAAAAATCAGAAAAGGATGTACTAAAGCAGATATCTTTACATATCCTATGTTTATCGTCACGGTACTATGTCAATTTTCGTAAAGATTGAGGTTGAAGATATAAAATACGTACGTTAAGTTGATGGAAAGGCAATTAAAGTAACAGATCAAGTTCATTGTTTCTTGTTGATTTTTCAATATCGAGATGGTTAATATATGGACATTAGTCAGAGACCGTCGAGACACTCTACACCCTACAGGCTATATCTAGATTGTTTGGTCTAGCAGTCGATTAGATTAATCATCCGTACAACATGAATCCGAATTCTCTCCTATCTTTAATGTTTTTTAGAATCGAGAAACCTTTTTGAATGTCGAAACGAACGAGGACCCAACCGGTTATCAGCTTTGTTTCAATCAGTCCGGTCGTCACAGTGCGCAGTTGGCATCTAGTTTGCTTTCTTCTTCATTTTAAATAAACCGATCGAAAAAACTTTAGAATATTGAGAGAAAGAAAGTCGATAATAGATATGAAAAAAAGGGAACACTAATGACTA